CATGGAGACGGGGTCATCACAGGTCACGTTAACCCCTTAGGGGTCCAGACCCGCGGAACAAACCAACCAGACTCAGGGAGGATAAATGTGCTGCACTTTTTTTATTTAAAGGGGCAGTATTCTATAAAACTGACAGCAGCAGTTAGCCAACACCTGGTCCGTTCAGCTCCTAAGAACGGTTTTAAATGGCATCATGGAGAAACATTGTCATGATGTCAGAAAGGGTTGGAGATTCTTAAAGAGACTGAAGCCCCATTTCAAGGCGTCAGATAAATTTATGATGCAAAGTCAAATGTCTTTCAAGTTGTTTTTGTTGTAGGAAACATTTTTGTAACAACAGCGAATATAGCAGCTTAGGGAGGAGGAGGAGGAGATTGATCTTTTCACAGATTATCTGTCTCACAACAAACCATCACAACATGCAGACAGATTTAAAGGGGCGGTGTTATGTGTTGACATGATGGCCATTTTACAGCACAATAAAGTCACTGTGTTACCGTCAGTTATTATGAAAATACTACATATGTGAAACTTTGTAATGTAATATTGCTGTCTCTTTAAATACTTCTCTGAACTTTCAGGAAGTCATCCCAACATGACTCCTCTGTTAACCCTTCAATGTTTTTACCAGCGTAGCTTTGAGCAGCAGCTCCTACAATGAGCTCAGCAGTTCCACCAACTATTTGCTAATTGCTTCTGGCTAGTCTGAAGGAGCTCAGAGGGGGAGGAGCTTACTCCTTGAAGGCGGGGCTAGGTCCACCCAGGTGTTTTGGACAGGTGAATGGTTGCCATAGAGATTAAAGCTTTTGATTGCATGAAATAATCAAAGCAACACTCCAGTTCTGTTTTCTAACATGATGTAAAGCTAAAAAAGTTTATTTTACATGAGACTTCCCTTTAATAAATATAGAAAACACATATTCTGAAGAAGTACCGGTTTCTCTGGAGGATTTTTTCACTTATAACTTTGTAGAAAAACGTGTTGAAAGGATAAAGTTTGATTTCCGGATGTGTTCATGTGTCAGGGTTTCTGTTTGGACGAGGACGAAGGCCGGCGGTAATGATGGAGGGGGGAGGGGGGCTCAGAGCGTGTCCTAGCAACAGGCTGGTTTGGAAACGGTGAGGACGGGAATAGTGGGTCAGAACGAGATGGGAAATGAAAGGCTGACACGCGGTAATTTGTGGAGGTGAAAACAATCAGAGAGGAAAGAGGAGATCCTTTTTACAGAAAAAACAGAAATGGTTTTCATGCTCTGGGGTTGCTGGTGATGGAGAGCGGTGAGGTGGCGCGTTCGCTGCTGGAGGCTGTGGGTTTGAATCCCAGAAAGACACGTCTCCCTGAGGATGTTAGTTTTCTCCGGGTACTCCTGTTTCACACGGAAATATTTTAAAGTTGTGGGTAGGCCTGTTGCAGTCGGTTAAAGAATAAATGAATCGCATCATGAATAATTCATGATGCAAACTCAATAATTTTCATTTGCGTAATTTTTTTCTTTCTGCCAAAAGTTGTATAAAAGTCTTCAGTTCCTTTGCTCTTCATTTGTTTAGAGACTTCATAATTAGTTTTATTTGTTGTTTATTTAGGATATTTAAAATGTCTTCCAGTTCCAGTGTTAAATGTTCATTAGAATTTAAAGTTGTTGATCTTTGACAATCTGTTACTTCATTGTTTTGCCATTACCTTTATTTTACTTGAAAATCGTCTTAAAACAATTTATTGTCCAGTAACCTTTGTTTTAGTGGAAAGCCTGGCCTTCGGCTGTTGCAGTCCAGCAGATTCGGTTCAATTGGAACCAAAATTGCAACATTTGTTACATTTTCTGAGTCAAAACAACCAAATTTGAGCAACCTGTTCCCCTCCTCACCTGTGGGGGCGCTACACCAAGAACCACTGAAGGAAACTACAAAAAGTATTTGAAGACACTGAGTGCAACTTCCTTGTCAGATTTTAGCGGTTGTAGTATTTCTCTTTTGTGTTTGGCTAAAAACCACCAGCTGTTTCTGCTGCTAATGCTATGCTAGCTTGTTTGTCTTGGTTGTATTTACCCAGAATGCTCTGAGCTGTAGTCCAACGGTATTGGGTGGTGAGGTTTGGTCTGCTTTAATCTGACTCCAGTCCGTTTAACTAGAAAGCCTGATCTGTTTGTGAAAATGTGAATGCTGATCAAACCAAACCAGCCTCAGTTTGGTTAAAATGAACTCTGGTTTGGTTTGAATGCAAATGTAAACGCCAAGCGGACTAGAGACCGCTTCAAAGGCAGGAAGTGAACTACAGCGCAGGGCATTCTGGGTAAATACAACCAAACCAAATGCATTAGCCTATTGCTAGCGGGATAAATGACTCATGGTCTTTAGACAAAGAGTAAAGAGAAATCCTCCAACCGCTAAAATCTGACGCCTCCGTTTTGTTAACAGTTTGTGAAGAAGGAAGTTGTGCTTCAGAGGTTTTTGTGTCGTTTCCTTCAGTGGTTCTTGGGGCAGCGCCCCCACAGGCCAGGAGGGAACATGTTGCTCAAAGGGTTTGGCTGGTTTGACTCAGAAAATGTAACAAATGTTGCAGCCGAACCGAGTCTTTGAGGTGGGAAAACACCCTTAATCATGATAATCAGACGTCATTGAGAAGGATCAAGAATCAGTAAAAATCTGTGATCCAGGCTTTAGACCAAATTAATAAATATTTGTTAGTGTTTGGCTGGTGGTGTGGTGTGTTTGTTTAGTTTTCCATTCACTCAGTGGGTCTGACTCTGACTTGTCTGCAGGCCCAGTAGAAAGTCTGCAGGGCGTTTCTGACTGCCTGCCCTGCTTTAAGACGTCCCTGGAACACAACACCTACATACACACTACATGCATCACTCTGTGTGTGTGTGTGTGTGTGTGTGTGTGTCTGCTGTCACATATGCTCCAGTCCCAGGCCGTGATGTGCCCTGCAACAGGGGAGTCCACAGTTGTCCGCCATCTTTGTTCCTGTTTGGAAAGGCTTCTGCTCATTTTTCTCTGTTTTAGCTTCTGTTGCTAAACTGTGTTACCACCTGATGCTGCCAGTCAGAAGCTAATTAAAGGAGCTGGAAGACGCCAGTCAGCTCTCCTGAAGTCAAGGATGAACAGCCATGTGTTTTGGTTTAGCATCATACGAAGCGCTGGCATCAGGCGTGGTGAAGGACAAACATGCCCTCGCTTTTCATGCATCACCACCAATCTATCTGTGTGTGTGTGTGTGTATGTGTGTGTGTGTGTGTGTGTGTGTGTGTCCTAAGGCTGTGCTGTGTGGTACTCAGGCTCTCATTTAGCAGGCAGATGGAAAAGGGCAGTGCTGGCCCGTCATACTGTAAATACAAATCAGAAGAAGTACTCTGTCTGAGGTCACATGTCACCACAACAAAACGTTTCATATTTAGTACCGGGATCAACGGTTTGCTTCCTGGGAGGTTTGTTTCTGTTCAGATATTCAAACAAATCAGATTTATCCAGATTTTAGATCATGGTCTGCAGTAGTTAGTAGCTCTAACCCTAAAGCACTAATCATAAATATTAGTTCCACTAATGTTACAATGTATTTATCGATATGTAAGCTAGTGCTTTAGAATTAATCTGGAAAATAAAACTAAATGCACTACACATTGTCAAAGTTAGCATGACACTGAAGCGAGAAGTAAAAAAAAAAAAAATAGCTCTGCCAAAATTTACCAAACTGAAATGTCAACACAAATGTCAAACTTTATCCAGTTTACGGAGAGCAGCTACAATATATCCTGAAAAATAATTTGGGAGAAGCTAAGTGAGCCAAACATTTTCAAAGTTGACAAAAAATTAGCTCCGCTGTTAGCAACGTGTGGCTATCACTGACGTTTTCACTTACGAGAAGGAATCGGATCAAACTGATTGAACTTCAGTTCATTGAGTTTATATTGGATGTTTTACACCAAGAAGGTGAAGACAGAACTGGTTTCATCTTCACACCGACGCACGCACACACGAACGCACACACGCACGCACGAACGCACGCACGCACGAACGCACGCACGAACGCACGCACGCACACACGGACGCACACACGGACGCACACACGGACGCACACACGAACGCACGCACAAACGAACGCACGCAGGCACAAACACACGCACATGCTCACCTGCTGTCTGTCGCAGCAGACAGGTTCCCTGCTTGCTCTCCGCTGGATGTTTGACCCAGTTTACTCTACAGAAACACAACAGGAAGGCCTTCATGACCTTTAAACTCTCATCATCTGTCAGCCCAGAAACCTGCATATTCTCATGTTTCCCACGCGGATCCTGTTGTGGTTAAACATGACTTTAGCTCACATGAAAGAATAAATTGTCAGAGATTTCTGAACATCTTGTGTGAACATTTTGGATTTTGATGGGATTTTCATAGAGACACTGATATTAATTTTTATTTGCTTGTTTTATTTCTTTCATTTACAGTTAAAAATGTTGATTTAAAATAAAATCTTATATCCTCTCAAAAGTCAATTCACATCACCTGAATTTTATTGCATAAAAATACAGTTTATTCAAATCTCCATGTTGTTTTTTTAAACTTTTGTCAACAGATGTGAGAATTTTCATATTCATCTAGTCAAATTATAAAACCTTTACTTATTCGCTAAAGCACTTCTTGGTATCGCTAACTAAGACACTAGTTGCGCTAACCATGAAGATCCACTCATAAACAGCTCCGCTAACGCTAAGCGCTATACCAACAAGGTAGTTAGCAGAAGCTAATGCTACAGCGGTAGATGCCACCATGTTGATGCCCAACATGGGGCACAGTATCGTGTAATGCCCTTCACAATGTCAAACCCAGGCAAATCTGAGACTCTTCTCCACTCAGTAACAGCATCCACACTGATGGATGATCGGGGATCCAGCTGGTTTATCTGGTTGAACCCAGATGTTGTCTCAGCAGTGGGTTCCAGCTGGCGCTGTGTTTCTGGATCTTTCTGGATGTTGTTTTAAAGTCGGTCTCCTTTCTGTCCCCAGTGTGCGGACGGCGTGTCGGGCGGAGACCCGTCCCTGAAGCGAGTGGCGGTGGTGGAGGATTTCTTTGATATAATTTACGCCATGCACGTGGAGATCGGCACCGATCCGGGAAAAACTCCCAAACACGCCGGCCAGAAGAAGACTTACAAAGCCGTGAGTGTTTCTCACCTGAGCGACGATTTCTCTCCTGCAGATCTGCAGCTGAACCAACGTTTCTCTCTGTTTGCTCCCAGTTGTTTAAAGTTTCTGCTGGGAAGAAAATGGATTACAAACTTATTTTATTTGTTTTTTCCATTAACTAAATGAAACCTGGAGATGTAGGTTTATTAATTTAGTGCAGCGCGCCACAGCAAAGGGAAAATAACGCGTAAAAACAACTCAAACCCACTCCTAATCTGACAGTCATATGTGCTGATATTAGTGTTTTTGGGGAGAAATATTTGACCAGTTGTGATTATTGATCAACACCAGAAATGTTGGAATGCTTGCTGATAAAAACTTTTAACTTTGATAAATGTTTGCTTAGAATCTGAAAATGTCTTAACTGTAAGAAATGAAAAAATTTAATGTCAGTAATAATTTAAAGTAAAATGTGCTGATGACTCATCCAGTCAGTTTGCATATTTATACCTAAAATAAACATCAACAGTCGCTGTTTCACTGACAGCTGCTCATGCTGCCCTCTGCTGGTCAAAACATGAACTTACAATAAACTTACTACTTCCTCTTCATAACTTTTCTACACGTTATTACCTTACAATTTTTACATATATGTTCTGTCTAGAAATATTTTAGATACATTCAAAGTAAATAAATGACACTATGAACAATTAAGTGACAGAAGACAGATTTTTGTCATCAGAATGTAAATAATGTTTTTAAATAAATAAAAACTAACATAAAAGAATATAAGAAATTATCTTCATCAACAATTTATTTAATATTATATATTTTAATAACTGAGGGAGTCAGACAGAAAAAGATCTGGTGCAGCGTTTCACTCCTTCTGTATTTGATCTATTACGGCATGTTAGGGCCATTGTAGATGGAAAAACAAGGAAATTTCTGCCCAAAAAATTCTGAAATTTTGAGATTAATCTCCAAAATTTACTTTAAAAGTCCAAGGACATTTCTGAGCCCAAAAAGTCAAAAATTCACGAATTTTGAAATTATTTTCTAGAGTTTTCTGAGTTTCAGAAGTCAAAAGTTTTAGACTTTATTCTCATTTCTAGTTGTTTTTATAAGTTTTCTGCTTCCAGCTGTTAAAATGTTGGAATTATCTTAATATTTTTGCAGTTTGTAGCGTTAAACTTATTCTACACGTTTTATCTATTGATTGTATATTAGGGGGGAAAAAAAGGAAATCTCTGGTTTACATTTGGACTAAACTGACTGGACGTTTCCCACCTGTGTTTCTGCCTTTCTGGGTTCATTTTTGTGTGAAAACGACTGAAATCCTGTAAAGTTCTGATGTTTTTCCATCAAAATGAAATTCCACTTGTCTTTGTTTCTGCCTCAGATCGCTGAGACGTACGCCTTCCTGCCCCGGGAGGCCGTGACGCGCTTCCTGATGAGCTGCGGCGAATGTCAGAAGAGGATGCACATCAGTACCGCTGGACAGGATTACAAAGGTACACACACACACACACACACACACACACACACATCTCTATGCAGCTTGAAAAATGAAAACTTTACAAAATATTTAATCACGTCTGTTTTCTGTTCCACACTGAAACAGAAGATGTCCTGTTGGTAATGTTTGGTTTCAGTAGCTTGGATGCTAATGCTAGCAAAGCTACTCCTGTTAGCACATGAACACATGAATAGTCTGTTCAGCGTCCAATGAGATTGTTCTGAAGCAGAGATTTACCCCCGACGAGGCAAAAGACGTGGCTTTGTCCGCCATTGCTGCTGTTAGTGGATGTGTGCGTCAGATTTACAGGCCCACCAGAAACGTGTCATTATAAAGGTTCCTAACGGAATCTTTGTTTGTAAAAAATAATACAATATAACGCAATTAATCATATTTTTAATGCATTAAAATTATGTAATTATGAGTACATCAGTTCATAAAATAAGCAAAACACAGAATTTTTTTAGAAAAACCTTTGAAGATTTTTAGTTTGAAAAGTTAAAAAAAATAATTTTTTTTCCAGAAAATTTCTGAGATTAATCTTAAAACTTTTCAAATTTTTGACTTTTTGAGTTTGTATTAGAAAAGAAATTTCCACTTTTTTCTCGCGTGTTTTGTTTCTGTTCTAACTGCAGCGGCTCCAACACGCCAACGTAATTTTGTGTCTGTCTGTTATTTGTGTCACGTTTATTTACCGCTAAAATCTGACGCCGCTCCATCTTACAGCAGAGCGTGCTGGATTGTCCGGTGGCTCCAGTCAGGTTTCTGAGTAGTTGCGAAGCGGGGAATGTGGTTCTATATTTTGTTTCATCACTCAGTCTCACCGTAGCGACTCATTTGTCAGAGTTTTTCCTCTCTAAACTCATCCGTCTCTCGTGGTTTTCCCTCTTTTTTCCATTTTTCCGTCCCTGAATCCTGAATCTGGCCTCCAGCGACTCTTGGTGTGTTTTTCCCGTTTCTCTCGTCCTCCCTCCTGTCATTATCTCCCTCCATCCCCACATGCATCCTCATCCCTCATTAGATAAAGGAGTCATTGGAGTGTCCCGTCTCTCTCCTCAATTAGCCTAATTAATGGCTTTAACGATGAAAATGGCCCAGAAAACAGGATCATTTTCCACTGGGTCGGAGCGACGCGCGGCGTCGGGACAAAATCACAGAAAATAAAAATTCCAGAGGAATTTAACAAGGAGTTAGTTTGTATTTCTGATGTTGTTTTGTCTGGCGCTCATAAGAGTGAAGGCTGGGCGCAAATAAAATATCAGTTTTTTGATTTTATTCCAAGTTTTTCTTTTCATTCTCTTTTCTAAAATAGAAATGACCCCTGACCCCAGAAGGAATAATATTTAAATTATTCCTTCTTTTAGTTGTACGATGGAGTATTAGCTCCGAACTACGAGAATTTATGTTTAATTACAAGAATATAGTCGTAGTATTAGCAGAAAAAAGATCAAATTTGACCAGAAAAAAGTCTGAGAATTACAAGAAAAAAGTTGTTTTAATGAGATTTAATTTAAAATAAAAGCTTTTTGTTTGACCGTTGCATTTCAGTGTAGAGTTGAGAACATTGGTGGAAAAACAATCATAAATTTTTATTAATCAATCAAATCGATTTTTCACCCTGTGCTCATTAGAATCAGTTTATATCTGCAATGATCAGCGCGTTTTAAACACACACACAGAAACACACAGTGTGTGTGTGTCATTCAGACAGGGAGCAGCTAATTATCTCAGACACTGTGGGGGTTCACTCACTCACACACACACACACACACAGAGAGACACACACAGACACACACACAGACACACACACAGAGACACACACACACGCACACACACACACACACACAGAGAGACACACACACACACACGCACGCACACAGAGAGACACACACACACACACGCCCACACACACAGACACACACACACACAGACACACACACACACACACACAGAGACACACACACACACACATGCACAAACACACACGCACGCAGTCACACAGTGAGACACACGCACACAGACACACAGACACACACACACACAGAGACACACACACAGACACACACACACACACACAGACACACACACAGAGACACACACACAGACACACACACACACACACACACACGCACAGAGACACACACACACACACGCCTCTCTATGCAGAGGGTCTTTCTGTAAAGTTCAGCTGTGAATTATTAAAAGCCATCAATCGGAGCGGACCGGTTCTGGTTAATTGGTACCGGCAGCAGCGGGTCGGACCGCAGGAACAATACCATCAGATCCACTGATGGACGGATGGAGAGCAAAACGTTTTTCCACGTTGTAATTTAAATAAACTGATGGTGCTTCTTCAGCAACATTAAGGATTTATTGACTTAAAACAAAAGCTTCATTTCTGTTTTTCTGCTTCGTGCTGTTTAGTTTCGCGTCCTGAGCAGCTGTTTGGTTTCTCTCTGTGGCTGCCTCTTAATTTTCTGTGTTTTTCCCACCAGAGAACGACAGACCCGGCTCTCTGGTGTCAGAGGTCATCGACTTCAATGTTCCTCTCACTACCACCTACATGAAGCAGATGAAGCTGCACTTCCTCAACAGCAGCAGGAACAACAACAAGGTGGGTTCTGGTTCCCGCCGGCGCCGGTTCTGGTTGGGGCCAATCAGAGAGAAGGTCAGAGGTCAGAGAAGTTCCTCCGTCCACTCAGGGATTGTTAGTGACCGATGAGCCAAACCAGGAAGGAACTAAACTCCTGCTGGTTTAAAGGAGGGAAAGAAGAATCTGTGTTTTTAGTCATCCAGAATTAGTTTTAGTATTTTATTTCCCATAAACACAAAGTTTACAGGATGTGAGATAAATTATTGGAAAACTGATGTTTGTTTGTTTTTGTTGCAAATGTTCAGATACCAAAGGAAGAATTTAGGAACAGAAATCAACATCAGTCAGCAAGATAAATATTTAACCTGAAACTAAATATTTAACCTCAAACTAAATATTTAACATCAAACTAAATATTTAACATCAAACTAAATATTTAACATCAAATTAAATATTTGACTTTTAGATAAATATTTAGAGTAGAGCTAAATACAAAGTTAGCCAACTACAAACTAAATATCTAGCGCTAAACTAAGTATTTAATTAGTAAGATAAATATGTAGTTAGCAAGCTATATACTTAGCCACAAGCTAAATATTTCATTCCACATGAAATATTTAGGTACCAAGCTAACAGTATGATCTCAAACTAAATGTTTAGCTAAGTACATACTTGGCAAGCTAAATATTTAGATTAGAGCTAAATATGTAGTTAGCAAGTTGCATTCTTAGCTTCAAACCAAAAATGTAGCTTCAAGGTCAATATTTAGTTAGGAAGCCAAATATTTAGTTCAAAGCTAAATATGCAGCTTACAAGTTAATATTTAACATGAAACTAAATATTTAGTCAGCAAGCAAGCACCTTTTTAGCTCTAAACTAAATATTTGATGATCAAACTAAGTATTTAGCCTCAAACTAAATCGTTGTAAACTAGATATTTAGTTAATACACTGTGTATATCCCTGGGCTTTGAGTATTATAATCTGAAATAAAAATGAAATAATCTGCCAATGGAACTGGCATTTTTAATCAACATTAAGGAATTATTGGCCTGAAACAAGCTCCTGTCTTGCTGAAAAGTTACTTTTAAGTTAGTTTTGTCTTATTTAAAGTGAACTAAGACATTTGCAATAGCAACAAGGCAAAAATACTTGGTTGGATTTTGTGTTTTGTTTGATCTCTATTTTTTGGTAAAAAAGCAGAAGTTTCTGTTTGGAAAAAGAGATGTTGTACAATTATTGGGGTAAAATCACAGCAGACTGCTGTTTTAATAGATCACCAGATAAAATGGGGTCTGTGCAGGTGATGCGTGGATCTGAACCGGGTCTTTCCGAGCCGTTTGCTCGTTATGAAGCCAAACTCGGTGACGGTTAAACACTTCCTGCCTGAAACATGTTGAAAACTCCCACATCTGAATCTGGACTCCATGTTGGAGAGGGCAGAGCGGCTGTCGTTTCCTGCGCCGCTCTCCGTGGCTCCAGCGCGCCACACACACTCGCTGCGGTTGCCGTGTGTGTGTTGCGCGTTGGAGCCGCGATGTCGTACGGGGGAAGCGAGGGTTGAGCTCTTTCCCATTAAGCGAAGCCTCTGAGCGTCGAGTTAATTAGTCGAGGAGAGAGATGAACAGCGAAGTGCCAATTTACTCTGGAATGCCGATACGTCTTCCTGTCTGTCTGCATGTCTCACACACACACACACACACACAAACACATTAAATGTCTCTAAAACAGTGCCAGAATCCTCCCCTTACATTTATCTCCCACCAGTAAACACAGTTTGACCTGAAAACTCACCTGAACCACCTGAGCTGAGTCGGATGTTTCTCATGTTTGATAAACTGAACATGTTCTGGATCGACGGTCTGATTTACAGAGAGAAGCCGACCAGTTCTGCTGTTACTGTCTTTTTAAATCATCCTAAATGAAGTCTGACAATTTCTGAGGTTTGGTTTAATAAACAGATATAAACAGATTTTATGTACTTTTAAAATGTACATATCGAGTGAAATTTTATTGCAGGCTCCAACAATAATAAAATAAGTAATAATAAAAAGTATCAATATAAGTATAAACATAATAATACGTAGTCGCAGACTGGTTGCCATAGCAACTGACCACAACACCTTTATGTCACAGGATTCAACACCAAATAACACTCCAACATTTCCCACACTAACATTCAGTCCGTTATAGTTTTATGTTTTCAGGTTGATGGTTATTTTGTGATTATTAATAAGTGATCGCTGTGGTAGATTAGCTACCATTGCTATTAGCTAAGCTAACACAGCGGTGGTAGATTAGCTACCGTTGCTATTAGCTAAGCTAATACAGTGGTGGCTGATTAGCTAATTTAATCACTTGCTCTACTGATGATCCGTCAGAGTTGGTGTTAAGTCGCCTTTTTTTCTAATTTTTTAACTGAATTGAAACTCACTGAATTCCAAAGCACATCTACATGTTAAGTTTGTCATAGTCAAGCTAGCATAACTAAACTACTTCCCTCTCCCTCACTATTCTTTTTATTAAAACTTTCCTTTTCTTGTTATCTAGCTGATGTAGTGTTGACAATTTGTAGCAAAGCACTGAGTCCCTTTTTCTTTTAAATTTATATATCACGCATACATTTAAGATTTAGCACATTATGTTGACAACTTGATAGCTAACAGCAGTGGTAGCTATCGTCTGTTTCATCATTTAATGTTTCATCAATATAAAAAGTACTTGAATTGCTGACTTAAAACAATCTCCTATCTTGATTAAAATATACTTGTAAGTTAGTTTTGTCTTATTTCCGGTTTATTGAGACATTTGCATTAGAAACTAGACCAAGTACTTCATAAGATCTTGTGTTTTTTTTTGCAATTCAGCATAGGAAAAAATTTAAAAAATGTTGATATTTTGAGTTATAAATTGTATGTGAAACATTATTTAATTTGGATACTTTGTGACATCATTTGTGATTAAAAAAAACAACACAAAAACTTAAATTGTGTGAACGCTGCAGAAGATATTCATATTCAGTCAGATAAAGTTCATCCTTACATAACTAATTTAAGCTTTACATCAGAGCCATTTTTAAAGACTGCAGTCGTCCTTCAGGATTTTTTCTTGGAAAGTCTTTTTTCTGTGACCTTAAAGCAGCTCTAACAGTGTGAGGATGTGCCTCCCTGTGCAGCCTGTACATGTCCACCCTGACGCAGCCGAACAGAAACATGCAGTGTGTGTTCCAGTGTGCAGAGCGCGCTCAACAAGGGAAGGTCACCATCTTTTGTCAAAGTTGTTCTTATGTGGGAGTGAGGATAAAGCTGAATATCTCACCAGGAGAAAGACACATTCCTGCTTTCACTTCTGCCTTCATTTTTTACTCTGGAAGTTAATTTCCTGGCCCATTAAATCTACCCAGAATGTTTTTTCTGAGCATTTCAGGTGTAAGGCTGAACACCCAGTGAGATTGTTAGGTAGTGGTTAAGACTGCCACTCCAAACTGTGTGTAAATATCTATATGTAATATAGAGCTGGACAATATGGCTGAAAAACATATCACAAAATTAGCATTTTATATCAGTCAACATTGATAATTAATTTGTTTTTTGTTTTAAATGTCTTCAATACAGCCAAACTGTATTGAAGAAACTATTATGAAGATTCATAACCTTTCCTGTTTTCTCTAAACTACATTGTTTTCCATTTTTAAGCAGTTTTGAGGCGAAACTTTAAACTGCTGCTGCTCCAGTTACCCAGCAGGTTGTTGCTAGGTAACCAAAGAGTGAGTGAGTTAGTTGAAGCCACCACCCTAGCTTAGCTAGCTGAGAGGTTGATCCCCCAGAATGCTGTTTGGCCTGAACAAAACACATAATTCGTTTTGTGGAATGAATTTGCAGCATTTGACGCTTGTTGTTGTTTTTGCTATTTGCTTCTATTTTCTGTTGTCACATTATTTTTCATTTGCATTGTTATTCTGTTGTGTTTGTATGTTTTGGATTTATTCACGTGTTTGTAAAAATGCTTTAGAGATTCAACCAGTAATGAAAACTTTCCGAACAGAAAGCTCCATCTTTAGTTTATAGAAATTCCTAAAAGTCCAAACGTGAAGAAACGCAGCTAAAATGAACCCCAGCATGGACCGAAGGTGTCCAAGTCCTCCACTTTTTCCCATTAACACACATCCCAGATCCCAGGCCTCCGACATTCGGCCCATCCCTTTCTCTCTCCTGCCATCCGCCCCTCGTCCCAATTCAATAAGAGGAGGAAATTAGCCAGCGTGCTTCCTGGCAGTGGGGGGGATGCAGACAATGTGGTGAAAGGGTGGAAATGTTTGAGGAGCGAGAGAAGAGACCATGAAGAGAGGGAAGATGGCAGGGCAGAGGTTCTGGTGTGGAGAAGAGGAATAAAGAGATGGAGAAAAGAGAAAATGTGCCTCTGATTGTGAGGGATGTTTATTTTTGTGGGGGGAGGGAGTTCAGAGAAGGAATTAAAAAGAATGACATGCTTCATTATTATTTGCGGCCTCCCTCCGTCTGCCTATTACTGCAGCTACCTCCAGAGGAAAGACGTTTCATTAATTTAGGGAGGAGGGGTGTGTGTGTGGGGGGGGGGTTGTGTGTGTGTGTGTCTGTGGAGGTGAGACACATTGTTAGATTAAGGTCTTGTTGAAAGTCTCTGAAACAAAATTACAGGAACACAGTGGATCCCTGTAACCACAACCATCTGTCAATACTGACAACATTGATAGATGCATATCTTAATAATTCAAACACCTTAGTCTGTCGCAATTAATCAATTAACTGCATAATAAATTACATTGAGCCTGATAATTTTCATTGTGATGATTCATATTTTGTTACAGACACATAATCCATTTAATTTACAATTTTGGTTGTGTGTGGTTTTTATTGTTTTATTTGTTGTTTTTGGTTGTGTTTTATTTTGGATATTTGAAAAGTCCTCTAGTTCTTTACTAAATTAAAGTTTATTGGTCTTTGAGAGGTCAAACTTGCATAAACACCAAACATACATTAATGT